GAGAGACGGAAAAGAGGAGGTGAGGGGGTCACTAGCCATACCTCTCTCCCTTCACACCAGCCTCTCCCCTTTCTCAACCTCCATCCCTTCCTAGTCTTTTTAGCCCCAGATGGGACTTCTTGCTGGAACTACCTCCTGCTAAAATGGAAACCTGTCAGAGTTAATTGTTAACCTAATAGCTAGTGAGAGTTTCACCCTGCTAGGCTGGCTGGACGAGGGAGCTGAATGCTGGCGGGGCTCCCCAGGAGAGAGGTGGAGCCACCCAGGTTTTTCTGGCTTGTACCTGCCACCTTTTCCCTACTCTGGACTGGAATCTGCCTCCAGGGCCCTCTCCTCCCATCTGTCCCAGGGGACTGGCTGCCACCTGGACCCAAAGCCCCCTCTCCAGCTGAGGTGACCCTGGGAGGTAAGCACTGGCTCTGGCCCTAGTCCAAGGGCCTCTGGGTGAGTGCTCTAGGGAGAGGTGCTGGGGAGGGTATGACATCTAGCCCTGGGGGCCCACCTAGAGAGCAGGCAGCCAGGGACCTTGCTGGCTTTGCCCCTCCTGCCAGGTGGGGGTGGGGTCACAGTGGCCTAAGCCCTGCACACAGGACAGTGCCATCCATGCCATGCCTTTCTCCTACTCTCCTTCCTTTTTAGCATCTCCATTGGGTTTCCTGTGCTGGACCGTTCTCTGCCACTAGACTGGAGGATGTGGGCACCCTGAGAATAGAGGCAAAGGCTTATTTCTTCTTCTGGAAGGAAGGCTGATCCTCAAAGCAGGCCACTGCCAAGGTTTAAGAATAGAGCTCAGGCTTCCAAGTTAGCAGGCTCGGTCAAAGCTGGGTGACCTTGGGCAGGTGACTCACCTCTCTGAGCCACAGTGTCATGCTATGAACAGTGGGTACTCTGATCCCTTTGTCGCCATCACGGTACATAGGCACCAGAAATAAATATTAATGTCAGTCTCATGGGGGCTTGTTGAATGAATGAATAGATGCCATTCTATTCAGATTCAACTTTATATCTGAGGCTTAGCTCTGGGTTAGGGCCAAAGAGGCCACTAGCCCACAACCTCAAGGACTTGACTGTAGAGTTGCAGCTGCCCCAAAGAGCAGCCACTAGTCACATTGGAAATTGGGCTGGTACAGTTGAGGAAATGAATTTTAAGTTTTATTTAATATTTAATTTAATTTGATTTGATTAAAAGAATACTTCATTCAATTATTGACAAACTTTTATATATGTGGGAACTTAGATTCATGAATATACTTTTTCAGGCTGGGTGCAATGGCTCATGCCTATAATCCCATCATTTTGGGAGGCTGAGACAGGAGGATTGCTTGAGGCCAGGAGTTTGAGACCAGCCTGGGCAACATAGTGAGACCCTATCTCTACAAAAATTTAAAAAATATCCAGGCATGGTGGTGCATACCTGTAGTCCTGGCTAATTGGGAGGCTGAGGCAAGAGGATTGCTTTGAAGCCCAGGATTTCCAACCTGGGTGACAGAGTGAGACCCTGTCTCTGAAAAAAAAAAAAAAAAAAAATATATATGTATATATATATATATATACACTTTCTCAATTGTAAAGCAAAAAGAATCTAAGTAGCTGATAAATATTTAGCAACTAAATCAAGATGTGCTGTAAGTATAAAATACACGCCGGATTTAGTATGAAAAAAATGTAAAATATCTCAATAGTCTTTTTTATATTGATTACATGTTAAAATGGATATATTGGGTTAAATAAATATATTATTAAAATTAATTTCACTCATTCCTTTGTACTTTTTAAAATGTGGCTATGGGAAAATTTTAAATTATATATGTGCCTCACAACATATTTCTACTTGACAGAAATACTTGACAGTTGTAGCCAGAGTTGAGTTGGACACATTGGAATAATAATACAAGACTATATAAAGACTAGTTATTTGGGGAGGTTTTGGGGGTCAGTAAAGGACAGATATTACCCACCCCACCCCCAGCCTGGGCCACACCTCTTGGTGGAACATTACCTTGGATAACTCCATAGCCTCAATAAGATCAGGGCTGCTGATGGCAAATGAAGAAACTTTGAGTTCTCACTTTGGCCATGCCACTCCTTTGCTCTGTATGTGACCTTGGACACTTCTCTTTGCTGAACCTTAACTGTCATCTGTAAACTGAGACTAATGGTGATTGAGAGGATCGCCTGAGAAATAATCCAAAGGAAGCATTTAGCACAGTGCCTGGCATGTCTCAGCAGTCAAGTATTAGCTGTAGTGGCGGCTGCTACTACTATTAATATTAGTTGTGGGGGCTGTTGCTACTATCGTACTGTTGCATCCACCAGCTTGGATTCAGTTATTCCATTTGTCTGAAGGGGACATGGGCCAGAGGGAAAGGAGAAATTGAAAGAGCTTGGGGATGGGAGTTGGGATGGGGACTTGGGGGATACTTTGTATGATACTTCAAGGGATTGCTTGCCTTTGGGGTTGCTCCTCAGATCTTGCCTTCTGCAAGTGATCAGGCAAAGATAAGTCCCCATTTTTCAGATGAGGAAACTGAGGTTTATTGAAGGAAAGTGACCTGGCTATACAGCCGGAACCTGAATGCAGGACTTCTCAACCCTATTTTGGTAATATTGGAACCAGTGTTAAGAGACGACCATTTGAGGTTGTAAGAGCAGCACCTGATCAGGAATCCAGCGCTTGTAAGGAATGGTTATTATTAGTCTTCTATAACTGGAAGGAATTTTGACACCATTTGGTGCAACTGTCTCATTCTGGAATTGAAGAAACAGAGAGAGAGAGAGACACCTGCTGATCATACAGCAGGTTGGTGGCCAAGCTGGAACTGTTTCTGTTTGTTCAGATCCAGCTCTCAGCTCAGCCCCAGCAGGATGGATGGCCCTGCTTGTCAGCCCCCTCCTCTCCTGCCCAGTCCCCAGAGAGGGTTTCTGAGAAAGAGGCTTTTGTTTTATCAGCTCCTTCTGGTTTCCTCTCTAGGTAGCTGCACACATGTGCGTGCACATACACAAACACACACCATTGGCCCTGATTTGCATTTGTTGTGTTCCAGGTTTCACTGGCCCTGAAATTTGAAGCTTCTCCACATACATCTATTTTCTGAATATCCACCAGAGGGGCTTTTTCATCAGGAAGGCCTGAATTCAAATCCCTCTCGTTCTGTCACCCTGGCTGGAGTGCAGTGGCACAATCATAGCTCACTGTAGCCTCCAACTCTTAGGCTCAAGTGGTCCTCCTGCCTCAGTCTTGTGAGCACCTGGGACTATAGATCCAGCCACTTGGCACCTGGCAAATCCCTCTTTTTTTTTTTTTTTTTGAGACAGAGTCTCACTCTGTTGCCCAGGCTAGAGTGAGTGCCGTGGCGTCAGCCTAGCTCACAGCAACCTCAAACTCCTGGGCTCAAGCGATCCTCCTGCCTCAGCCTCCCGAGTAGCTGGGACTACAGGCATGCGCCACCATGCCCGGCTAATTTTTTCTATATATTTTTAGTTGGCCAATTAATTTCTTTCTATTTTTAGTAGAGACGGGGTCTCGCTCTTGCTCAGGCTGGTTTCGAACTCCTGACCTTGAGGAATCCGCCCGCCTCGGCCTCCCAGAGTGCTAGGATTACAGGCGTGAGCCACCGTGCCCGGCCTGCAAATCCCTCTTTTATCATTAATTCTCTCTGTGACCTTGGGCAAGTCACTGGGATCCATAGCCCAGCTGCCACTGTATGGGTCTCAGCTTTGCCACCTTTTCACTGTGTGGTCTTCAGTGAATCATTTCACCTCTCTGGGCCTTGTTTCTGCATGAGGCTATCCCATCTTGGATGTTTGTGGCAAGGCACTGTGCTGAGCTTTTCACATGTATCTCCTGTGATCTTCCTGTGAGCCCTGGAAACAGACACTATTACTCCTACTTTTCAAATGAGGAAATAAAGTGACTTGCCCCAGGCCACATAGCTAGAAAGTGGTAGAGCCAGAATTCAAACCAGGTCTGTGTGACTTGGGAGCCCAAGCTCGTAAACTACTGTACCTTCTTCCAATTTGTCTGATTCTCATGTGCTGTGTGAAGTAGAAACACTTCTCCTACCTGGAGATTGTGTTCTGAGTGTGTGAGTCCTGGGCACCCAAGGCTTCTCCCTCCAACTGTCCTGCCCCATTGAACACTAGGCCTCACCTGCAGTTGGGGCCCAAAGAAGATTGAAAAAGGATCAGGTGCAGTCATGCATACCTATAGTCCCAGCTACTTAGGAGGCTGAGGTGGGAAGATCGCTTGACTCCAGGGTTTCAAGGCCAGCCTGGGCAACAGAGCAAGACCTTGAGAAAAAGGTCTTAAATATTCTGTGAGTGAATTATACCAGAATAGATTATTAATGCTAAAAAGACCCTGAGTGTTCCCTGAGTCCAATTATTTATTTCACAGATGAGGACGCTAAGGCAAGGATAGGCCAGGTTGGGAAAGCAGTGGATATGTTTTTTCCTGGGTGCTAGGGACCACTAAACCGACATGAAAGGAGGTGTCTGAAGGTTGGGGCCCCTGCACGCCCTCATCCCCCTACATCCAGGCCACCACCAAGTTCTGTGGACACCAGCTCTTAAATATCTCTTGAGCCCATCTACTTTTTTTTTTTTTTTTAGCTCTTCTATAACCACCCTCCTCTAGGCCCTTGTCATGTCTCTCCTGGGTAATCACAACCACCTCCTAACTGATACTCCTGCAGCTACTCTTGCCCCTTTTCCATCCATTCTCTACCTGAAAGGCAGTGGTTTCCCTTTGCTCTTAGAATAAAGACCGAATCTTTACCTTGGACTCCAAGGCCCTTTGTGGCCTGGCCCCTGCTGGCTGCTTCAGCTTCATGTTTGTTACTTTCCTTTTTGCTCTCTGCCTCACAGGGCCTTTGTGTTTAACAGGTTCAGCAACTTCCCTAAGGTTCCTCAGAGAGTCAAATGCCAGCCTCTCAATTTCCAGCCCATGCTGGGCTCGTGAACTCCTCTTCCAAGGAGCTAACCCTGTTTCCTCCTTCTAGGTGCCTGACTGACAGACGTCTTTGCCCCCGGGGTGCTGGTGTGGACAGAGGAGGGGTGAGTGTTCCGGAGGCACAGCCTTTTTCTCCTAATGCTGAGGGTGGACAAAGAGGGCTTCCAGGCCCTCTGACTCAGTTTTGTTACTGCTAGGGAGGTATAAGTATTTGTCTAGGTCACAGGTTTCTGTCGGGGTTAAAAAAGGGGGCAGTGCTGAGAGCCCTCCTTGATTTTGGTTCATTTTGAAGTAGGGGCGGAAGTACATATTCACATATTCATTAAGCACTTTGTGTTAGACCACGTGTTCTGCCTGTGTTGCTTATCCACGCCACCATGGTTGGCAACGGATGGCGTTGGGCGAGGAGCCAGATCCACTGGCCCTGCAGCCCTTGCTTTCTTTTGCTTAACCACTCCTAGGTTGTAGACTAAGTTCAGGAGAGGGTGTTTTCATTCTGGCTCTGGCATTGACCACTATGTGACCTTCTTTTTTGTTGGCCTCAAAGTCACCTATACATTGTTGGGGGAGGGGGAGGGGAAAGATAGAGTCAGACTAAATGAATTGTTTTCAAACGTTCCAGCAAGGAAATTCCCTTTTCAAATGACTCCAGAGAAGGGTTTGCAGCCCCAGTTGGAGTTAGGGTAGGGCTGGGGGACTGCCATTAGCTCATTCCTCAGCCCCTAGCAGCCCCCAGACTCCTGTGGACACTTCCTCGGTTTTGTGTAAGACATTTTGAAAACTGCCAACCTGGGGCATGTCAGCCCCTTGCCCACCTGGAATTGCTGTGACTCTGGCAGGGTGAGGGTGTGGAAAGGGAACTGAGCCAATGAAGTTGTGCTGATTGGGAAATTGCAAAGTAACATGCAAATGTCATTGTGGTGTTATTAATAAGGCACAACTGCCAGGGCTGTGATGTTGTCATCCTAGAATCCTCTGGCTTTTAGTTTTGGTTACACGTGAGGTACCTTGGCGCCCCTGGGGGAACTTTCCATTTTCTGTGTTTGTTGTGCCTGTGCGTGCCAGGGAGTGAATGTAAAGAAGAGGCTCTAGGGGGGATGAGGTGGGGCTGAGCCAGGCTGGAACAAGTAGAATAAATGGTGAACAGAGCTGGAAGCATGTTGCTCCTGGGGGTGGCAGGGGTAGGGGGTGGCTTTAGCTCCAGTTAAAAGGAGAGATTTGGCTCCTTCCTGCATGGGCCCCACGGAGATCTCTGGGCAGGAAGCACTGGGAACAAGGACTCCTCTGTCCACAGCCACAGCATAGCCAGGACAGAGGAGGTGGATTAGGAGTTCCCAAGAGGGGGCCTGCCCAGCCTTTCCCTGACATTTGGGCATATGTTGGGGGGGGGAAGGGGAACTCAGGGTATATGTGCATAGGGGATGTGGGGGCTCAGTAGGGGAGGTAGAGATTGGTTCTTACATTTATACCACATGTTCCTTAAGCTTCCTGAAGCCTTCCAAGGAGCCAAGCTCTGAGACAGGCAACTCTGTAGATGTCAGAGCCAAGAAAGATGAGACTGTAGGTATTAACCACCATCAGTTTACTGAAGGAGACAGGAAATGTGAGAGACAATAGATTTTTGCAAGCAGCTTGGTGCAGTGGAAGCTATTTGGTCTGCAAGTCCAGAACCCCACGTTTAAGTCCTTGCTCTGCAGCCTTGCCCTCATTACTTCCTTTTTCTCGGCCTCAGTTTCCCCTTCTGTAGAATGTGGATGAACACATCAGCCCTGGGTACTTCTTTTTTCTTTTTTTTGAAATGAAGTCTTGTTCTGTCACTCAGGCTGGAGTGCAGTGGCACAATCATAGCTTACTGATCACTAGCAGACTCGAACTCCTGGGCTCAAGTGATCCTCCTACCTCAGCCTCCTGAATAGGTGGGACTATAGGTGCATGCCACCATGCCCAAGAAATTTAAAAAAGTTTTTTTAAGGACAAGATCTCACTATGTTGCCCAGGCTGGTCTAAAACTCCTGGCCTTAAGTGATCCTCCTGCCTCAGCCTTCCCAGTAGCTAGGATTATAGGCATGAGCCACTATGCTTAGCTCTGGGTACTTCTTCTTTTTTTTTTTTTTTTTTTTTTTGGTAGGGACAGGGTCTTGCTATGTTGCCCAGGCTTGTCTTGAACTCCTGGGCTCAAGTAATCCTCCTGCCTTGGCCTCTCAAAGGATTAGGATTACAGGCATGAGCCACTGCACCCAGGCAACCTTTGTTATTCCCTAAACCTGAAATGTCCTTCTCCTTCATCTCCTTCTCCCTTTAAGACCCAGTTCAAACCCCATTCCTCCACAAAGCCACTGCCAAACCATTTTCTTTTCTGCATTCCCCTAACACTTGGTTTGTAGCTCTCTCCTGTTTACACACACTGTGCCCTGTATTGCAGCTAATTGAACATTTATCTCCATAACTGCACTACACTTTCTGTGAGGAGGTGCTGTGTCTTACTGAAAAATCTTTTTGCCTCCCACAGCCCTGTTCATCTTAGGCAATGATATATGTTGGTTCATTTAACGTTTGTTTGTGTATGACCTAGTTAAAATTCTTCATATCTGCCTTCTATTTCTGCACTTTATGATTCTCACATTCAAACTGTTTTCCTGAATTCTATACCCTCTAATCCAACAGTTTCTAAAACGTCTTGTAGGCACATTAAACTGAACTCACGTTCCCTCTCAAACCTGCTCCTATGTGTCCTGTCTCAGAAAATGGTGCTATCTTCCACCCATTTTCTCAAGCCAGAAACTAAAGAGCTATTTTTGACTCCCCTTTCTTTTCTCCATTTTTTTTTTTTTCTTTTGAGACAGAGTCTCACTCTGGCACCCCAGGTAGAGTGCAGTGGTGTCATCATAGCACATAACAACCTCAAACTCTTGGACTCAAGCAGTCACTCCTGCCTCAGCCTCCCGGAATAGCTGGGACTATAGGCGTGTACCAGAACACCTAGCTAATTTTTCTATTTTTTGTAGTGACAAGGTTTTGCCCTTGCTCAGGCTGGTCTTGAACTTCTGGCCTTAAGTCAGGAGTTGGTTGAGGCTGCCTCTACCTCCCAGAGTGCTAGGATTATAGGCATGAGCCACCACGCTGGTCTTTTTCTTTTCTTTGAAATCCAATCAACCACCAAATCCTATCCATTTTACCATCTATATATCTCTTTTAATTATCCTCCCATTCTCCATCTGTGTTGCCACCACCATGTTCTGGGCCACCACAGTCTACTGCCTGGTTTTTTGCAGCTGTTTCTCATAAGTATCCTGATCTCTGGTCTTGCTCTCCTCCAATTCATTTTCCACTGGCAACCAAAGTGGTCCTACTAAAGGCTATAGGCCATTTCCTCCCTTAAAACTCCTTTAGTGAGTTCCTGTTGCTATTAGATGTGGCTGTGTTAAGGTGTGCAAATGCCTTAACTTGGCTTGCAAACTCCTTCCAAAACATCCCCTGCCCACCCTGCTAGCCTCATTTCTCAAAGGTCTTCTTCTCACACTGTGAGCTTCTGTCATTACATTTTTTCCAATTTCTCAAACATATTTCCTCACCTGAGCCTTCACACTTGTTTCCTCTACCTGGAATTTTCTTTCTCTTCCCTTTTAGCTAGTCCCTAACCTTTCTATGACTTATTTAAAAACATCACTTCCTTGGGGTGACTTCCTTCACTAGGTTCCTGCTTGTGTTTTTACTATCTCAGCACCATGCAGTGACTCTGTGACAACCACTGTTTAACTGTGTTGGACTCTTCCCCTCAGAAAGTACATCCTGGGAAAGCAAGGACTGCTTTTCTTATTCAGCAGCTCCCCCCTACCTAGAACAGTGCCCAGGACATAGGAGTATAATAAATGATTTTCAAATATCAGACTTCTATCTACAAAACTGCTTACCTAAAACTTTCTAAAGAAATCTGGCACACAGCAGTTATGTGATACATTTTTGTTTAATGAATGACTCATCTTCCCTGAAAAGACTTCTAGAACTTTCTGCCTTCCTATCATAGGGGTTATAAATTTGCATAGGCAGCTATGCTAAGCTACACAGCTTATGGCTTATCATTGTGGCCAGTTCCACAAATATTTACTGAGTCTCTACACCGCCTCAGGCAGAGAGTTAGGCTTCTTGAATATAAGGATGAACAATACCTGCTCTTAATAACTACAAAAAGGAAAGAGCTGCATGAAACTATTGTATACTACAGGGAAAAAGGAATTGCGAGGTATTTCAGTACACAATATGAACCTCTATTACTTAAAAATTTTAAACTAGAAAAAAAGGGCCGGGTGCAGTGGCTCACGCCTGTAATTCTAACACTCTGGGAGGCTGAGGCGGGGTGATCACTCAAGGTCAAGAGTTTGAAACCAGCCTGAGCAAGAGCAAGACCCCATCTCTACTATAAATAGAAAGAAATTAATTGGCCAACTAAAAATATATAGGCTGTGACTCTGGCAGGGTGAGGGTGTGGAAGAGGAACTGAGCCAATGAAGTTGTGCTGATTGGGAAATTGCAAAGTAACATGCAAATGTCATTGTGGTGTTATTAATAAGGCACAACTGCCAGGCTGTGATGTTGTCATCCTAGAATTCCTCTGGCTTTTAGTTTGGTTACACGTGAGGTACCTTGGCGCCCTGGGGAACTTTCCTTTTCTGTGTTTTGTTGTGCCTGTGCGTGCCAGGAGTGAATGTAAGAAGAGGCTCTAGGGGGGATGAGGTTGGGCTGAGCCAGGCTGGAACAAGTAGAATAAATGGTAGACAGAGCTGGAAGCATGTTGCTCCTGGGGGTGGGAGGGGTAGGGGGTGGCTTTAGCTCCAGTTTAAAGGAGAGATTTGGCTCCTTCCTGCATGGGCCCCACGGAGATCTCTGGGCAGGAAGCACTGGGAACAAGACTCCTCTGTCCACCAGCACAGCATAGCCAGGACAGAGGAGGTGGATTAGGTTCCCAAGAGGGGCCTGCCAGCCTTTCCCTGACATTGGCATATGTTGGGGGAAGGGGGAACTCAGGTATATGTCATAGGGATGTGGGCTCAGTAGGGAGGTAGAGATTGGTTCTTACATTTATACCACATGTTCCTTAAGCTTCCTG